TGGGGATGTTTCCAAGTTTTTGGGGGGTTTTGAAGGGTTTTGGGGTGTTCACAAGAGTTTTAGGTTGTTCACAAGGTTTTTGGGGTGTTTCCAAGGGTTTTGAGGCATTTCTGAGGGTTTGGGGGATATCTCCAAGGGTTTTGGGGTATTTTCAAGGTTTTGGGGCATTTCCAAGAGTTTTGGGATGTTTCAGAGGGTTTGGGGGCATTTCTGATGTTTTTGGGGGGATTTCCAAGACTTTGGGGGTGTTTCCAAGGTTTTTGGGAGTGTTCACAAGAATTTTGGGGCGTTCACAAGGTTTTTGGTGTATTTCCAAAGGTTTTGGGCTGTTTTCCAGGTCAACGAGGCGGAGGAAGAGCAGTTACGGAGCGAACGGGAGCACCAACGGGTGACCCAGTTGTGTCAACAAGCCGAAGCCAAGGTCCAAACCCTCCAAAAATCCCTCAAACGCGTCATCGTGAAGAGCAAACCTTATTTCGAACTCAAAGCTCAGTTCAACCAAATCCTCGAGGTACCGGAAACGACGGCGGGGACGGGGACGACCTGTGCGGGGATCGAATTTTGGGAAAGATCTTGGTGGTTGGGGAAGATCTTGGTGGTTTCCACCAATTTTTGGGGCAAAATAAGAGTCGTGGGTGGAAAACAAAGACCGTTGGGGTTGATTTTGGGGAAGATCTTGGTAGTTGGGGAAGATCTTGATGGTTTCCACCAATTTTTGGGGTGAAGTAGAGTCGTGGGAGGGGAAAAAAGTTGATGGGGTTGATTTTGGGGAAGATCTTGGTGGTTTCCACCAATTTTTGGGCAAAATAAAGAGTCAAGGGTGGAAAAAAGAGACGATTGGGGTTGATTTTGGGGAAGATCTTGGTGGTTGGGGAAGATCTTGGGTGGTTTCCACCGATTTTTGGGGGTAAAATAAGAGTTGTGGATGGAAAACAAAGACTTGGGGTTGAGTTGAGGAAGATCTTGGGTGGTTTCCACCAATTTTTGGGGAGAAGTAGAGTCGTGGGAGGGGAAAAAAAGTTGATGGGGTTGATTTTGGGGAAGATCTTGGTGGTTTCCACCAATTTTGGGGGTGAAGTAGAGTCCTGGGTGGAAAAAAAAAAAGTTGATGGTGTTGAGGTTGGGGGAGATCTTGGTGGTTGGGGAAGATCTTGGTGGTTTCCAGCAATTTTGGGGCAAAATAAGAGTCGTGGGTGGGAAACAAAGACAGTTGGGGTTGATTTTGGGGAAGATCTTGGTGGTTTCCACCAGTTTTGGGGGTAAAGTAAGAATCTTGGGAGGGGAAAAAAGGCAGTTGGGGTTGGGTTGACCCATGGTTTTGGATTCTGAGGTGGCCGCGGTGGCCGTTGTCCCCTCGCTAGGAGCACAAGTCGAAGGTGACAGCGTTGGAGCGGTTGGTTTCTCAAGCCAAGACGCGTTATTCGGTGGCTTTACGCAATTTGGAACAAATCAGCGAACAAATCCACGCCCGGCGCCTCCAACGCCTCATCGTTCGCCGAGCGTCGCCGGTCGGAGCCGAAGCGAGTCCCCAACACGGCGAAAATCAGGTGGGGGGGACAGGAGGGACATTTCTGGGGAGCGAAGACCCCCCCAGCGACAATCTTTCCGTCTTGAGCCTTCAAACCATCGCTTCCGATTTACAAAAGTTCGATTCCGTCGAACATTTGGTGGGATTGTCGGATGCCACCTCCCTCAACAACGATGAGTTGGAGGAACGGGAGCAGCGCCGGGGGGGTCAGGGGCACTTCA